TTTCCAGTACTTAAGTCAGAATTTGCTAGAAAATTGATCGATGGAATTGCACGAAAGAACTGAGTCACTTTGCTCTGCTTATCTACGAACCACTACTAGGAGAATAAATGACCAGCGCATCGGCTTCCGGTGCGAAGATGCGTTTTTTGCACAATTCTCCGCACTTTTTCCACTACTGCTACCGTTTTTTCCGGCAGATGCTTCTATGTAAGAGAATTGAGACTGACCGCCAGGGCTGTCTGAAAACATTCTTTTAAAATTCCAGTCTTCTCGCTTTTCAGATTCCCGAGTTAGCAACTTGTCCGAAAAAACTTTGGCAGGCCCGCATGTGGGTACGACGCGGATAAGAGCGCCTATTTTGAAGATGGGGCCTGTACATGCATGTAGATTAAGTTCCCAAAGTTTGAGCCCTGTAACTTTTGTAGGTCTTGAGATGAAAAATCGGTGCAGATACACAACGCACACACAGACAACCCTTCGTCAACGTGCGTTTTCTGCATTACGTAGCTGGAAAAACGCATAAAAAAGCAAATCCTTTTACAATAATTCGATGATAAGTCGATCAGTTGCTGGTACATCCTGTTCGGTTATTCCGATCATTCATTTCATTCCAGCTATTGAATCGTCTGTACCTCACACGGAGTAATCCCGATGCATAAAATTGCCCCGTAATCAGTCTTCGGTAAAGAGAACCATTGATGTTTCGCCAGATCGTTCCGAATTCCGGTTTCGAGGGTTTTTCGAGAGAAAGTGAACTGTATTCTGGTTTCATAGTATGTTAGGCGTGTCGATTATATCGAAGAAATATATGGTTGTGATACTTGGCTTAGCCGTGATCGTGGAATAAATTTTGAAAATGTTTGAGGAAAATACCTTCTCATCTTGTTTATTTTTCATGTTTTGGTGACATATTGCATTTAAAGCTGTTTTTTTCCAATGTTATGCAAAAAGTACACTAGAAGTTACAACTGACCTAAAGATTCCACGTAAATTTAAAACAAAAGCGAAACAACTGCTGCATTTTAAAAAGAAAAATGTACAATCTGCATGCCAAGATTCCTTTGAGCTTCTGCATTTTTGAATAAACTTTTTAGGAAGGGAGCTTTCTGTAGGTTTTTGGCAAGTGCAAATTTGTTTTTGTTAGTTTCTGGAAAGGGAGCACTGATTTTATGCTTTTACAACTGGAAATTTTCATCCTGGCACAAGTACATCCCTATATGTATTTATTCAGGCAGTAGCTGCCTAAGTTAAATCATTGGGGACACGAACTAGGCAGGCCCGTGCGACGACCATACGTTTTTTTTTTTTTTTGGTATTTCGCGCTGTTGTAAGATCGCTGGAAGTCCCAGTAGTTAGAATTTATGACGTACTGGTCCCCGAAATTCAGGGAGCTAATTGTGCAACTATATTGTACTTGGTCTGCGGACATTCTCTCAAAATTTCGGCTTCCTGACTTTTCTGGTTCCAAGAATTTGTCCGGAGCCGTACGTGAGAACCACGAATACCTGGGGGCTGGATTTAAAATCTTTAAGCTGTGCGTGGGTTGCGAGCATTCCTTTAAATTTTCAGCCTCCCAGCTTTCCTGGTTCAGCGTTTTTCCCGTCAAGAAATTTAAGAGGACCGTACGTGGGAATCAAGCACAATTGAGGGCTGAGTTTGAAATCTTTGAGTTCTGTTTGGACGGGGGTATAATTACAAAATTTCAGCATTCCAACTTTTCTAGTTCTCAAGTTAGCGATTTTCTAGCCCAAATCTTCCACTCGCTCGTAAGTGGGGCCCAGACGTGCATGAGGGTTGGTACAGCATTCTTGAGTGGCACTTAGTCAGGGGACCCACTGCCAAACTTTGGCAGTGGTCCCCTGACTAAGTGCCACTCAAGCTTGCTTGGTTGCCGAGTTGGAATACCCGGACAACAAACATACCGGGTCATCACAATATGCGTTTTTGCATTTGCATATAAGCAAAACGCATAATTGGATAAGTTTTGTCAATTTAATCGCAGATCACATATGAGGCTAAATTTCAAGATCGTCCTTGTCTTGATGTACCAACTGAATTCATACTGACGCATCTTCATTATTTGACAACCAAGCATACTGCGGGTTTATTTAAATGATTGGCCTTCAATAGTCGTCGTATTTTTCAACTGTGACTTCAGAATAATATTCATCAGTGCTGTAACTTCGTACATCAGAGGGCAAATAAGAAATTTTTATTGTTTAACTGAATAGCTATAGCTAAAAGAACTGAAACCAGCATTCATACTTCACAGTGCTTCTAGTTTTAAGCTGATTTCAAAATTTCACTATCAAAACACACTTAGAGAAAATTTCAAGGTTTTAATAGTCTATGGTCATCGTGCGAACTATAAGATTATTTTGGTACGATGCAGCCAGTTTTTGTTTCTACTCACTCACACATCCATTCTGCGCTCTTCCGCAAAAAATGAATAAATGCATTTTCGCTTTCGGATTGCCAATAATGATTGCTTAATTGACACTAATATGTTTCATCAGCGACAAGAAATTCACAAAAAAATTCCTGCTAGTACGCCGTAACAATGCCTCTTCCGCCGTTACAGAGTGTGTCGATCAAAATTTTTCCATTAAATATCATTCGTTGAACAAACAGCAAAACTACAGTTGTAACAGAGTGGGAAATTCAAAATGAAGTGGATCAACATTTTATCGCTGTCGCTGCTTCTTCTGTTATAGTCTCTCTCGCGGGTAATATTTTCAATATGCGGCAATTTCACGTCGAGACAAATAAATCTTTCTCTGACGTCTCTATTTTTATCGCCTGTGCTGTTTTCGCGGATGTCGATGTTTTTCTTGTGGTCGTTCAATTCGCTGTTCCAACAAATCCAAAACCACTTCTTTTCATTGTTGTTTTCGTTGGGGCTCTCAGGAATGATGTCGTTGTTGAACCCTTTAAACGGAATATCAGAACGGACGTACGTAAGCTTTCCCTCATCAATGTTGTTAGTTTCCAGGTTTGCCATGTTTTTGCTGATATCGGCAAAGCATAATTCAATTAAAACACGTTCGCTTTTGTCGCCGTTTTCCTCTTTACGGGGCTTGAATATGTTTTTGTTGTCGCTGTCATCAAGTTCTAAGCCGCAGTCAATGAAAACGTTCTCTATGCTGCTGTTATAAACTTTGTCTTGGCTTTTGATAATGGTGCTACCGTTATAGCAACGAGCTGTCCAACAGATGTGAATGAAGAACTTCTTTTCTTCATCGTTGTTACTTTCGTTGTTGTTGGAGTAATGCCTCTCGCTGCAATTGGTACTGAATTCGTCGCCCATTTTGTAAAAATTGTCGTTTCTTGGCAATTCCACAATTGTATTTCCATGAGTATCACTGTTAGAGTTGCTCCTTTTGCTACACTTTCTTCCGACACGGATGGTTATGAAAATCGTTGTATTACTTCTGTCATAATTGAGCGACCTTTTCAGAGATGTCTGAGATATTCATGCCGGTTTTGTTACTGTCATGGAGCAGATGGCAGGAATGAATCCGAAATAAATCCCTTTTATTACCGTTGCTGCTGCTGCCTTCACGGTTTCTTTCTAGGATGTTGTTTCTACTGTTACTTTCATTAAGTATCACTTTGAAATGAATGTAAATACGCTCCTTTTTATCGTCCTTGCTGTTGCTTTCAAGGATGCCGCTGCTGTTATTGTCATCAGAGATTAAAAAGTTCCAAATGCATTTTAACTTCTTTTTTTTGTTGTTACTGTTGTCTTTGCTATTGCAATATTTCCGGATATCTTTGTCGCTGAATTTATAATATGGAATGAAGTAAATGCGGAAGACTTTCTTTTCATCATTTTTGATTCTAATTGTATTAGCACTGCTTCTTTCGTCGCTAGCCTCAAATCCGCCAAAACAAATGCGAATAAACCATGTGTTGTTTCTGTTGTCGCGACTGTTGTTAACGGAATTGTTGCTGTTGTTATAAATGGTATAGACAAGATTCCGGCTAGAAATGATGTTTTTGTTGTAGTTCGGTGATGCTGAGTTTATTGTTGCCGTATTGGTTCCTAGCGAAAATTTTGCCAGCGCAGCGTAATGAATAAAGAATATGCAGAAAATTGCAGATGCAGTCATAATGACGGAAAATTTCTGCAAAATTTTGTCCTGAAAAGAAATGTCACGTTTTTTTTACGAGTTTCCAGGCTCTAACGGCTGCTTATTTACGCATTTTTGCATATTTATACAACTACAAAAACACATATTGTTGAGAGGTTGTCCTTGCGTGTACATGTATGTGTGTGTGTTCGGGAGGAAGTGAACTTTGTCACTCACTCTCAACTGAACAACCGCAGAAGCTAGGGAGCAGAAATTTCACAAGGGTGTTTTTAGCCCATGCGATCCAAACAAATCAAGTCAACATTTACGGGCGCTTGAAAAAATGTAAATTTTTGGCGTGGAAATATTTCGAAAGCCAGGCAGGGTGGAAACCCCAAACTTCACGCGCATATTCTCAGCCAGTGTATGAACAAAATATTTCAAATTCTACTATCAAGCATGCCCACGTTTCGTGAAGGTCATGCCAAACTTGATAAGGATATTTGGAGCTCAAATGGGGAAATGTTGACATAAGATTTATCGCACGTCTATGTGGCGCACATTTTTGACCGCTGTGTACCAAATGAAATCAGCAAGCTGCGACTGGTGTGTGTGGGTGTATGTATGTGTGAGTGTGGTATGTATGTGCACTGCCTGAAAAGTTTAGCTGTGGAGTCAAGAATGCTTAGATGCTAAAATCCTATATGGTTTTAATCACTCACTGGATCTCATGAGTGAACTTTCAGGTCCCCTCGTATTCCCACACCCGATAATTAAACTCAAATTCCAGCCAATGATTTATTCCAGACTTATGAAAGAGTTTCGGATTTTTGAAGCTTTGTAGTTTTCCAAGCGATGTGAGCTAATAACCTATATTAACATTTAAACTTCATTGTCTCTTGATCCACGCCCCCGAAATGAGCTGGCACTACACTTCGAACTGGATAAATGACACAATCAACTGTTGAATGCGACGATGCACTCATTTACGTCTATCCAATTCACTATGAGTTATAATTTCGAAACCTCAGTATTTATAATTTGCGAAGAAAAACAAGATTATCAGAATGAGATGCCACAGCTCCTTTGTATGCTGAATGTTTGCTAGATGTAGACCCGCTAAAGCCAATGAATGTGCTACTATGCCGAATCTTTTATGTTCAAGTTAATTATTTATAAAAGCGTATGAAAAGTACTAAGGGATTTAGTGAGCACCAGCTATTATTTAGCCCCATCCTTCTTTTGGTCTCTGGTTAATCATGGGCATTTCCAAATCACGATTCTTGGTGCATCCAGACAATTAAAAAAAATTAAGTTGTGCTAAAAACGTTTATTTTTAAGACGCATGGTTTTCTAAAAGTACGAGTAAATGCGCATACTCATAAATTTTTCTGATTAGGAAAATAATGAGCAATGGCAGAAGATCAGGCAAGCGACAGGCCCATCAACAAGCCGCACGGCGAAATATTCAAAGCAGCTGAAAAGTCGCCAGCCACATAGCCAGAGAGTTTAACTGTGAATTACAGCTGGTCTAGCAAATCCATGTGTAGCAGAAAGTGCTAAACACTAACACTGCTTTGGAAGGATAAAAGTGCATCGCTCTGAATTCATAAAAAGCCAGTGATAGGTCAGCCATGATAGAGTAAATGCATGAGTATGAACGAAATCGCGCCTAGCATCCCTGTGAATTTCTGCACTTTTGAATAACTTTATTAAAAGAGGTATTTTTTGAAAAAGACAACACTGGAAAAGCACTTTCTATGTTTTTACGACGATCATAAAAGCGGATTTTGGAACAACTGCGTTTGTGTGCATAGCTATGAGGACAATTCAGTCAGCAATTACGTATGATAGACACTCTAAATTTTTATGCGTTTTTACGCGCAATCACTTTTTGCATATTAATGCTAATGCAAAAACGCACATTGTGACGAACCGTGGTTTGCATGTATGTGTATTTTGTGTATTTGTGTGTGTATCTATTCAGGTATTTTAACTCTGCAACCAGGCAAGCTATGGTGCTGAAATTTCGCAGTGCGTCTTCAGGAACGTGACATCTTCAAGCACTTCCGTGCTCCACATTCGGGATATGAAAATTTTGGCGAGGAAATTGTTAACTCGGGAATTAGAGAAGCTGGAAAGCTGAAATTTTAAGAGGATATTCTTTGTTCACACGCGGTTTAAAGATTTCAAGTTCAGTTCATTAAGTAAGCGTGGTTCTCACGTACGAACACATGACTTTTCGGCAGGAAAACTGGGAGTTTGGGAACCAGAACAGCTGGGTCATCTTCAGTAACGACCCGTCATCGGAAATTGTTTATTTTCCTTCATGCAAAATTTACGGTAATGAGTGCACAAATAAAGTGTAAAACAACAACAATTCATACATTTGACGACTAGAGTGCTTCAAATTTCTTGCAAATCGCATGAACACTTCGGTAGACCTGGTGAGTTGCAACTTAGGTTAAGGATAATGTCGCTGTTATTGATGCCCTCAAATAGACTACCAAAACAGTTGCGAATGAAACTTTTCCTTTCGTTGCTGTTTTCGCTTATAGCTTTCAGAGTAACGGTGCTATTACTGGCACTTATACTATGAACTACTGCATCAAAGCGTATGCAAATTCTATTTTTATCGCTGCTTCCCAGGCTATTGGTTTTAAGTTCTAAGTCACTGTCAGTGGAGGTGAAGTCCCTTCTATTGCCTTTGATGCTTTTAATAGTGCTGTTGCAGTTCAGAATACCGAAATGAATGTGAATGAACCTTACTTTAGCATTTCATTTGTTATGTTTGCCGTTGTTTTCCAAAATACCGCTGCTGTAGTTTTTGTCGCTTATTATTATATTTCAGTCAGTCCTAATCAATTTCTTATTGTTGTTGTTATCTTCCTTGCTGCTTAACAAGTTGTTGTCCCTCTTAAATGGAAAAACGAAATCGATTTGAGCGAACTCCTTTTTATCGTTTTTGGCCACACTGACATTTTCAAAGATGCTGCTCCCACTGCTGCTATCCAGTAATTGACCTGAATTCATGCAGAATAATATTGTTGCATTTATTTTGACATCCTGCTGTTTGTTCTTGGGACGGTTACTGTTGCTACTTCTGCTGCTGCTGTTGTGATCAAGTAGTATCTGGGGACGGGCCCAAATGAACATTCGTTTTTTCTTGTTTTTGTTGCCTTCACTGTTGTTTTTCATAATGCTGCATCTGCTGCTGTCGTTCTCTTGATGTTTTAGATTAGAATGAATGCGAATGAACTTCCCTTTGGCATCAGTGATTTTATCGTCGGCACTAGATTTCGGGGATTCGTTGTCACTGTTTTTGTAGTTGTCGAACTTCATTCGGAATTTTATGTGAGGGAAATTCACTTTATTGTTACCGTCGTCATCCACATTGTTCTTTCTAAGAACCTCTCTGATACTGTTCTCGTCACACCTAGTAATTTCCCGGACAATAGTGTTTTTGAATATCTTTAAATCGTTTTCATAAATTTCGTTTTGATTCTTAAAGATGCTGCTATCGTTGTAGCAACTATTTACCCAAGCCAAATGAATGTAGAACTTCTCTTCATTATTGTTCTTGCTGCTGGTGTTGAAACAAAGTGTGTCGTTGAAGCTGGCATCGAAGGTGCCGGCCACTTCGATCGAGCTGTCATTAGTAAGCAATTTGACATTGATGCTGTTGTGAGTATTATTAATAAACTTGCAGCTGTCGCTATATTTTCCCAGGAAATAAGTGTTGATGAACTTCATTGCATTGTTATTGCCATCCTGGAAACTACTTTTAAGGGTTTTGTTGCTGTCATCAAATAAATACCTGAAACGAATCCAATTAAACCACTTTTTACTGCTATTCCTACTGTTATTCTTATTGTTCGTTTTCAGGGCAGTACTGCCGACGTTATTAGTTCTGTTAATTATTATGTTGAAACATGTGTCAATGAACTTTTTTTTATCGTTTTTACCCTCGCTGTTGCTTCTTCGGAAGTTTCTTCTATTTTTGCTACCAAACGCTAAGGTAAAACGGTGGTTAATGAACATTCCTTTCTTATCACTGTTGTTCTCCTCACTGCTGTTTTTAAGAATATTGCTTTTACTGTTGTTTTTGTTGTCTTCAGGTTCTTCCGAGAAATTAATACGCGTACATTCCTTTTTATCATTTGCGTTTGCGCTGTCGCTTTCAGAAACGTTGCTGTTACTAGTATCATTAAACAGTCGGGAAGGAAAGCAAGTTATCTCCCCCTTTTGGTCGCTCATATTCTGTTCGGTGTGTTTTAGAACGTCGCTTCCGCTATTGTTGTTCTTACGCATATAGTCCGTACGAATGCGAATGAATTTCTTCTTAACGTCATTGTTACTGTTTTCATCGTTGAATTTGAAATCGCGGCAGCTGTTGATTTTAAACGCATCGTCGAATTCGAAGCAGAGCGATTTCTCTTTGTTGTCGCCACTGTTGGCCACGTTACCAAAACCAACATCTCTAATAAAGATGTTGGTTTTGTCACGGCTGTATCTAGAAGCCGCGCTGAAAGTTATACGAATGAACTTCTTTTGATCACTTTTGTTGATTTCGTTGTTGTTTTTCAGGGCGTCAGCGTTGTTGCGACGTCTTTTACCAGTTCGTATTGCAAAATTAATGTGAATGAATTCGATGGGGTTGTTGCTACTGCTGCTGTTTCTTTTGCTACCACTATGCGTTGATCCGGACTGAATCTTTACGAAATACTTTTTAGCGTTTTTGTCCTCGTTGTTGCTCTTTAGAATGCTGTTACTCTTGTGAATTTTGATTGCCCAGCGGCTGTGGATGCGCAGTTTTTTGTCATTGTTGTTACTATTGTCATTATCATTGACACTTTTGGAACAAAGGCTGTCGTCGAGGATGATGCTGATGGAGTCGTATATTTTGCTTGAGCTAATGTTACCAGTTAATTCTACACTAGTATTTTTCTGCGTATTATTGCTAACGCTATTGGCGTCCCTAAATTCTCCAAAATTAGAGATTCTTATGAAAACCCTTGCACTGTTTCTGCTCTTCGTGCTGCTGTTTTTCATGATGCTGCTAATAATTTTGTTTCCGTCGACAAATATGCGTATGGAATCAAACCACTCGATCTTCCATTTACTGGTGTTATTCTTGCTGTTAATGCAAATGAACTTGTTTTTGTCCTTGTTCTCGTTTTTGCTTTCAAAGGTGCTGCTGCTGTTGCTGTTATCAAACCGTAAACGGAAATTAATGCATCCGATACCTCCGTCTTTGCTGCCGATGTCGTTGGTGGTTTTGTTGCTGTCATTAGATAATGATAAAATGCGAAACCAAATGAGCCATCTTTTCCTGCCGTTGCTGTTGCTGCTGTTGTCATCACTGGCTATTAAGATGATGTTGCCAGCGCTGTTATTCTCGTTAAATATTATGTCATAAATACGAGTAACATTCTTTTTGTCGCTTATGTCCTTGTTGCTTTTAAGGATGCAACTGTTGTTTCTGTCATCAAATGCTTTCGGGTTCCAGTCGGGAATTATCCATCCTTTTTTGTCGCTGTTGTTGTCCTCTTCATTGTACTTCAGGATGTTGCTGCTATTGCCATAAGTGCAGATGAACTTCCCTTTACTATCATCGCCACTAATTTTAGGAATATTGGTGTTAATGTTATTATTGTTGACAAAAAATCCGCAACAATCGGTTAAAAATAATTTTTCTTTTTTGTTGTTGCCGCTAAGATTGATGTAGTTGGTGCCGTTCATTTCGTTTAAGCTACCACTGCTAAGCAGTTCTACCGTGGTACTTTTCTGAGTACCATCACTAAAGCTGGTGCAGTCATATTTTCTCGTGAGGCGGTTGAGGATAAGCTTCGTTGCGTTTCTTCTGTCGCTCTGGTTATTGGTTTTGCTGCTATCGTTGTATATTCTGCAGGCAAGAATCCGCCAGAACCACTTATTATTGTTGTTACTCTTGTTTTTCTCATCATTAGTTTTCAGGATGCTGAAGCCAGTCTTGTTATTTACACTACTTATTATGCAAATGTGAATGTAATTGTTCCTATCGCTTTTATCTTCACTTTTGTTTTCAAAGATGCTGCTGCTGTTGCGATCATCAAACAATAAGCGAGGAAAGCAAATGAACCTTCTTTTGTCGTGTTCACCCTCCTCGATATTTTTCAGGACGTCGCTTCTGATACTGCTGTTGTTGTTGCTTTCATCAAGCTTGTAGCTGAACTGAATGCGAATGAGCTCATCCCTTTTGTTACTGTATCTATCCTGGCTGTTACTTTTTGGGGCATTGTTACTACCCCTGTTAATGTGGCTTTTATAAACGTGAGCGAAATCAGAACGGATGGGCTTTCTTTCATCGTTTTTGTCCTCACTTTTGCTTTCAAGGTTGTTACTGTTGTTTTCGCCATATAACATCAGCTCGATCCGGTTGAGAACGAACACCCTTTTTTCGCTGTTGTTGTCTTCGTCAGTGTACGTCAGGGTGTCTTTTCTGTTATCATTAATGCCGCCGTTAAGTTCTTCATTCAAATGAATGTGAATTAACTTCCCTTTTTCGTCGCTGCCTTTTTCTTCATTATTGCTGTACTTTGGGGTGTCTCTTGTATCCTTATCGTTGAGCTTAGAAAGTGTTCTGAACGGTTCGCAAATGATTTCCCCTTTAATACTGTTGATTGAAAAGGTATGGGCGGTATTATCGGTATTGCTGTTTTCAAATTTTCTTTCAAAATGGATGCGAATAAACTTTTTATTATCGTTGCTGTTGTTGTTATTGTTGTTGTTGCCTTTAATGTCACCGGTGTTACTTCTGTTATCGCTGTGTACTATCCCGAAGTGAATGCGAACAAACCGTCCTTTAATGTAGTTGTTGTTGTTATTTTGGAGGATAATATCACTGCCGTCACTATCGACGCTGTGAAGCCGACCGATGTCACTGCGCGTAGGTTTCTTGTCGTCGCTGATACTGTCGTTGTCTGGGTTGCTGCTAACGATGTTGCTGCTTTTGCCGGGGGATATGTTAAATATATCTTCAGAGTTGCAGCGGGAAATGCAGCCAATATTATTATTGTTGCTCGATGTTTCTGTTTGCGTTGCTCCTAATGCAGCATAGACAATGAGAAAAATGCAATAAATTGCAACTGCTAACATATCTTCCGAATTATTCCAAGTATATCCTGAAAACAAAACTTCCAAATTTTTATACAAAATTTTCTAGATTTAGAGCTGCCGTTCTTACATACGCCTAATTCACATATATGAACCCAGGTTGGAACGCACCAGGCTCTCCGGTGCGATCATGCGTTTTTGCACTAAACTCGCAGATC